TGTTGTTGGACTCGGGGGCATTCCTTCTCTGGTCCCCCTGTCGATCTTCCTGGCTTCTTTCTTCTCGTTGTACAAAGTTTTTTAGGTACCCACGGCAGATGAGCTCCTCTATCTCGTCGCGGAGGTTTCTGCAGTTCTCCGTACTGTGCTCGTGGTCTCTGTGGAAGTGATAGTAGACGTTCCGGTTTCTTGTCGATGGATCTCCCCTCAACCTAGGAGGCCACTTGACAAAGAAGGAGTCCTTGATGGCCATTAGGATTTCTCCTCGCTTAGAGTTGAGAGGTGTGTAGTTCGCCCTTTCAACAGGTGGGGTCCTAGAGCGCCGACCTGACTTGCGAGATCGCGAAGGAGATTAGCTCCCATACTTGTTTCCTCCCCTGGTCGGGGACTTACTCTTTCTTCTTTTGTGCCCGTCGTTACTTGCGTTGTCACTATCTCTTTTTTCTTTTTTCTGTCGGGTTGTCAGTCTTCTGGTTCATCTCTTATTCGGTTCCGATGAACTAGTCAACTAGCTTGAGGAATTCTGTGATGTCTTTATGTTTATTGGCCACCACATGCCATTTAAACTCTCTGTGAGTTATGCCTTTCTTGGGCGCTGTGAGTCTTACCACCGTGTCTAAGTTGGGGATCTGCAAACAGGTATCGTTGAAGCATTTGATGTAGCTTCTAATCGACTCCTCTTCTCTCTAAACTACGTTGAGGAGACTCTCCTACAACCTCGGGCACTTCTTGCTAGTGATGAAATGCGAGGTAAATAACTTTGAGAACTGCGCCCAACTCTTGATCGATCCCAACGCGAGATTCCGGTACCACGTCCGAACTACCCCCTTGAAAGTGGTGGAGAAAGCCATGCACATGCAAGACTCGTCAGCCCCAGCTAGGTGCATCTAGAACTGGAAGGAGTCCACATGATCATTAGGATCAAAAGACTCATCATATTTGTCCAAGGGAGGCATTTTGAAATCTTTGGGCATCGGGGTCACCAAGAGTTCGGGGGACAGGGGAGATGACCCGGAAAGTAGGGGAGGAGCGGCCTTTGTAGCTACCGAGCTCGCCTCCTCCTTACCTTTAGCCTGTTCTTGTTGTTGGTTCAGTCTCACTGGCTAACTGTTCTGAGCTGAAGTATGGCGTGCCTTGCGACACCTCCGTTGCTGCTTCTTTATCGGCTCGGCATTGGTGTTGTTGATCTCGGTATGCTCCGGTATTGTTCTACTACGAGGTAACTCCTGGTTCCTCGTGTGATTCTGGGGCTGGCTGTCATGAACGGAGAGGCCTTGCCTTGAGTTCGCACCCAGAACCCCGAACCGGTTACCTACGAGGGACCCACCTTCTTGCTGCCAACGCCTAGGAAGATTGGCCCTGTTGGGCGAGTATCCCCGGATCTGTTTCCGAGGTTCCCTTGCGAAGTAGGTGAAGTGACTTGACCGTCTCCCCTCCCACGGAGTGAGACCTGACTCCTGGGAGGAACTAGGACTTGGGAGGTCTCTTCGCCTCGGTGGGGAGATCGAATGTTCTGGTTCACGCGAGGTGGTCTGTTCTGATTCTACTAGGCCCTTGGGTGCCGAGGTGGAACTGGCTGCTGGCTCTGCGGCAGTGGGGGGAACTGCTGCTGGTACTGCTGGTAGAACATGTACTCCTAGAATTGTTGAACCAGCTACATTTGGACCTGGATGGCCAGCACACACTACACCAAGTCGTCAAACTGTGACTGTCCAACTCCGGGGGGAACCACAGACGGCTCAGAAAAGGTTGCGCCTACCACTAGGGGAAGTGGGGCGTTCACCTGTGTGGTGTTTGGTGGCATGGTCAGTGTTGGAACCCCAGCCACAGTAAGCAGGATGGTGAACTAGTCAATGCACACTGAAGGAAGTTGAGGTTGCCCCCGGAGACGTTCATCTCGCTGCTATGTCCGACATGACTGAAAGATGTCATTGATTCAAAAGGTTGATAGCTTGTAAGAGGGATGACTTTTTGATCGATTCCCACAGACGACACCAATTAATGTAGCACGATATGACTACTCCCTGTTGGAGGATGATCTGACTTCCAGTCGGGCAGCGAGCTAGGTGAATCTGCAAGAAAGGATCAGAGAACCCAGGGTGGCTAACCTAGCGAGGTTGCTCCGATGCTTAAGTTAGTAAACTGATGCGAGCTGAAAAGCTTTGAGGGCTTAGAGAACTAGAGAGTAGAAAAATCACGCATACCTTGTGTCATTGCGGTTGATGCCTTTATATAGTTGAGCCCTCGTGGTTTTTGCGGATCGGTTCCAGGATTTTCGTCCTGATGGGATCCGTTTCCGCTTTAGTTGGGGAGCAGTGTTATCAACTAATAAAGATTATCAATCCCAGCCGAACCAGGCAGGGAGAAGATAAGGCTTGCCATTACGCGGCGTGATCCCATGAGGTTCGGAGTTTGTTGGAGAGACTTCCGGGATCGTTACGTGATGGTCCAGATCGGTAGCCTTGAGCTGATACTTCAGCCTTTTAGCTTTGAACTGGATTGAGTGCCAAGGTAATCTTGCACCAAGGTGACCTTGTGCCGAGGTGAGCCTTGTGCCAAGGTGGCCCTTGTGCCGAGGTGACTGAATACCCGAGCTCAATTGTTGTGAACTTCTTTTGCCAGGTTGAGTTGTCATCTCTTGGTCAGGTCGTGTCCACGTGTCTCCTTTTCGATAGGTCGGGCCAAATCACCCTTCATCACTTCTCTTATCTATTTGCCTGAAGCTCAATTTTCAGCTGAAACTGAGGTGCAGCATGCTATATATGACTAGCAGCACTTCACACACATCCTCGGGTTGTATTACTGGAATTTCTAATGCCCAGAAAAGAATGTGTGTTCCTTCTTCAGAACATATTGTTGATTTTAATCAAACTCACTTATGTTTGATGGTGCAAGAGACTACAGATTTACGACCAATTGGACTTTGCAATGTTCTTTACCAGATTATTGTGAACCGCTTGAAACCTTACTTGCAAGAGATAATTGGTCCTTACCAAAATGTATCAAGGACAATATAGTGATAGCACAAGAGGTGGTTCATATGTTGAAGAAACAACGAGGTAAGACTTCTTACTTTTTTTTGAAATTGGATTTCTCCAAGGCTTATGATCGGGTTGAATGGCCTTTCCTCATGACGGTCCTACGTTCATTGCTGGCTTTAATGAGCATTTTTGCTCTCTTTATCTATCATTGTATGTCCACTGCTAGTATGGCTGTGTTACTTAATGGTGCGCCTGGTGAAGTCTTTCGTCCATCTATCCAGGGATTTACGTCAAGGTTGTCCCTTAACCCCATATCTTTATATAATGTGCATACAAGTGTTATCTAGAATGCTCACTATGCATTTGGAGAATGGCTCTCTGGGTGGTGTTCGTTATGTTTTTTGCTGATGATATGCTCATATTTGGCAAATGTACTTCTCGTGAAGTTGGGTGCATTAAGGACATTGTTGCTTAGTTTAGTGCTTGGTCTGGACAAGTTGTAAATTACCAAAAATCTTCCATTTTCTTTAGTAACAATACCCACCGTAGGGTTAAAAATATGATGTCAAATAGTCTTGAAGTACGGGTTATGCGGTTGGATGAAAAATATCTAGGTGGGCCTCTTTTTATGGGTCGGCCCAAATGTGCAACTTGGGCTGAATTAGTGGAGAGAGTGAAGAATAAGTTACATGGCTAGAAGATGACTTCACTTGAAAGGTGCATCTGTATGGCAATATACTAGTGAAATGTAGGGGCGTTCTTAAAAAAGGGATTGTATGGTTGGAACGTGGACTTCCGACATGATCCTTGGTGCGGACGGGGTATGTTTCTACATTCTTCTACTAATGCTCATTTACAATATGGGAAAGTTGCACATTTTCTTGACCACTCAACCATTTACAAAACCTCGTGACTATAGAACAATTGCAATTGATTAATAAAGTAACTTTGCCACATCCTCAAACCCAATTGGATGATCGCTTGGTTTGGTGCTACACCCCACATGGTCAGTTCAATACCTCTTCAGCCCGTCCATTCCTCATGGCTGACTTGCCTAGTGGATCTACTAGTTCCTTTTTGCACGAGGATATGCAATGGAAACACTTGTGGTGCATGAAATTCTTGCCTCCCTCACTAAAATTGTTCATTTGGAAGAGTGTATTAAATATTCTTCCTACTAGAGCACGGCTGAAACATTATATGCCATTGGATACCTCATGTCCTCTCTGTGGTGTTCATGAAGAAACATTACTCCATCTTTTTCAATGCCCGTACTGTACATATTTGTATTTATACTCTTTCCAAACTGAGCTTATATGGTTTGGTTCTGAATTGCATTTTCATCCGGATGCTCTGCCAAATTTTGATGTGAGATTATATATTATTTTGGTGGAGACAAGACAAGAATTCTGCAGATGGTTGTTTATTACGGGGTGTTGCTATTATGCACTAGATCTGGCATGCTCGGGGTCGAAACTCTATGTTTTTGAAGCTACCACAAAATCCCATTCTCAGATTTATCTGCTTCTAAGGAATGTGATCACTAACGCCCCAATTGGTCTCTCCCACCTCCCACCCCAACACCAATATAGCATATATGCCGATTAAATAAAGAGAATGCTTTGGGTCTGTTTTGAGACTTCAGAACAGAAGATGAGAGACCGAGATTCGGACCTTGATTTGAAGTAAAATAAATAGAAATCAGACCTTAATGGCTTGACAAATGTTCGTGATGAAAACATACTCATGTTAGCAATTCAATGGTTTGTACAATTTTTTTTTTTTTGATAAATAATCAATGGTTTGTACGAGTTCATAATTTAAGAACGATCAGTTACCAATAATTATTTCCACAGAAACCTTCCCTGCATTCTCCTATAAATTATCAAACCAAGTTACTTATTGTGTATTTTCAGTTCTGCGTTTTCATTCTTATTTTCTTGGTTTCTGGTACAATTTAGTGTAAAAATTTGTTCTAGTGCATCTAGTTACCGCTCTACATATAATAAATCACAATCATCAACAGAATGGCATCATTGTTGCCGTGCTGTATGCCTTTAACCACGGATACATACACAAAATGGGACTGAAAAGTACTACTAAGCCATTACCAGATGATAATTAGACAATATCCATCCACTTATAGTTGCATCATCTGAACCATCCACCGTGTACTTTTTTGACCGTCCAGATGAAACTTCTAAATTATATTCAAAAACTACAGACTTGTAATTATATGACTAGGTTGATTTGTTTTTTGCATACTTTCACCATTTCCAGTTCACTCTGGGACTAGTAAAAAGGAGTTTCTTTTTTCCGAAGAACAATATAAGCATTATTAAATAGAGATAACCAGATTCTTACGCACTGGAATTTGTACATAGACTCGTAGAGGCATGTTGATAGAAAATCCACCTGCCTTTGACAACGTGACAAGTCTTCAAGAGAAATATATTATCACTGCCTCAAACTTTCCACAATGTAGGAAGCATAAAGATCCCTGCACCAAGGAAATATCCATAAGAGAAATATCAAGTATTAGACAATCATCTATAAGTTGGCTAATAGATCTAACACCCTTCTCATTGGTGTTACATCTGCAACAGATGTGCAGGGGAGAAAAAGGAAAAAGTCAAGCAAAAGATAATGGTATGCCATCCATGTTCAAAATCTTTCTAACCGGCAATGCATTTTTTGCATAATTGTAAAATGTTTAGAAAACTCACATGGAGTACTTGATTGCCTTGATGGCTTCTTCAGCAGGCAAAAATTCATTCACTGCAACTTCTTTGTTCTCATTCTTTTTGTCTGTCATACAGATGAGTGAAGGAAAGAACAATCAAGCAGATAACTTGAACCTAGGGGTGATCATTCTTGGCCCGGCCCAGCCCACAAATTTCCAGGCTTGGGCCCAGGTTTTTGTGTGCAAGCCCAGCCCAGCCCGGGCCTGCATCAAGCCAGGAAAATTCCAGGCCAGGATTGGGCCCAGCACTTCAAGCCTGGCCCAGCCCGCAATATAAAATATAAAAGTTTTAGGTTTTAACATATAAATATAAACAATAAATAAATATTAATATTTATAAATTGACACATGTCAATATGTTGAGACACAAATAAAGGGAATACAAGTGTACAAGAAAAGGCCACGCCAGCCTTTAAAGAATGCAACTAACAGCCAACCACTAGAACAAACTAACTAACTGGACAAGTGGAGAGGCGGGTATAACAGAATTGTAACAGCAGTATATAAATAAGGAAAGGAAGCTAGGAGGGGATTATCGATTTGGGAATACAATCTCTCTCTCTCTCTCTCTCTCTCTCACTCATTCATTCAGGAGGCAGGCTCCCTCGAAAGAGTCCCTAAGTTAGGCAGNAGAGCCAAGATGCCAAGCACAAAGTCATCCGCAATGGAGAACAGAGTCAACAACATGGAAGGAGAAATGCAAAGAATATCGGCTGACGTCAAAGAAATCAAAGAAAGCTTTGCATCCTTGCTTGAACGACTGGCACAGGCACCACCTGCGCCGAATCAGGAAGAGCGCAATGACACCAGTCATTGAAGCGGATCAAGAACAACAAGAATCGAGTTTCCCATTTTCGCAGGGGGAGATCCAACATCCTGGCTTTTGCGAACAGAAAGATACTTCGATTACCACGACACACAGGGACCTGATCGTGTCCCATTAGCTTCTGCACACCTGGAAGGAGAGGCAATCGTCTGGTACCAGTGGTACCAGCGACAACACCCAAGAGCCACATGGGCAGACTTCACCGATGCCTTAACCATGCGATTTAGAATCTCAGCCTTTGAGAACTTTGATGAAAGCCTCGCTAAGCTACGACAGACCGGCTCCGTCCAAGATTATCAGATGGCGTTCGAAAGATTAGCTGTGCGCGTGCAAGGCTGGCCAGAAAACACGCTTGTCGACAGTTTTGTTGGTGGACTCGGGGAAGAATTGCAGCTGGAGGTAAAAGCCATGCAGCCCACCACCATTCTTGAAGCAGCAGCATTAGCTCGACTACATGAAGACGAACTGAATCGGGCAAGAAGGATTAATCAACCTCTGGGAGCTGCGATCATACCAGGTATACCAAACCCAGAACCAGGTATCTTGGGTAAACCGGAGCCCAGATCAGAAGTAGGAATCACAGGCAAGGACGCCAACTCTGGTTTAGGCCCCGACTCAACCAAGAGGTTAACCTGGGCTAAGATGCAAGCCCGACGGGAAAAGGGCCTTTGTTATGCATGTGGAGACAAATTCGGGHCRGGCCATCGCTRYAAGATCCCTCAAGTTTTCTTCCTTCAACCTGAAACCGAATATGTCGAGCAATCAACAGACACTGAAGAGCCAATGGACAACCAAGAATGGGGGCAATGGACAAAGGAATA